ACGGAAGAATAACGCGAGATGCCCTACTCGCAACCGACCGACGAATGTAACCTAGAATCCTAGAATCATTCAGGCGAGGCTTTCATCAGCGAGGGAAAAGAAGATGATGGACGGACGGGAGAAACAAACAATGGTGTTGGGGAATACGGTTCTTCGGAAAGGATTGTAGCCCAGTTAAGACGCTGTCGTATAGCTGAAGGATGAATGACAAAGGAAGGGTTTGGTGATGGACAACGTGAATGGTAAGGTTGGGATGTTAGCCCAGCACAATGTTAAATATTCCGTTCCTCGATTATGAACCTTTCGCTTAGTCGATACTCTGATGAAAGGATTATTGATCTTGTTCCGCGAGCGACGTCTTATCCGGTTTTCATCCTCTAATAGCGCAAAAAGTTGCGATCGGGTGTATTCTGCATTCATTAGAGGCTGCTATGTCGTACAATGGAGGGTATGCGAAAAACAATAATGAGACCATTTTTTTCATGTCTTCGCTGATCCGAAAGCTAGTTTCTCCCCCTTGCATTGAGTCAAAGACATAGGGAAATTATTCAAAATATTTGTTTTGATGCCATCTCTAATGAGCTACGTCCTCCTACGAATGAGAATATCAGCATTGTTCGAACGACGTGAGTGGCTCTCATTCCCAATTGCGCAGATTCCTCTTACCGAGTTTTCATCGATTTCATTGGATCCAAGCGATGGTTCATTTCCTCACCCATGCGCCACATAGAACCCCACCCAACAGAACCGGAACAACACCTCGGCCGATCGGCGTCTGTCAGGGTCTGTCAGGGACTGTCAGGGTCCGTTTCGAGACGCAGACGACCATCGAGAATCCGGTTCCAGTCGGAAAAATGGTGAGGAAGGGAGCCTCCATCGCTCCGTCGGTCAATGGTCGAGAAGCAGACATCCGCTTTCAGGACGAAGGAGAAGCGGTCGGTGTCGGTCCCGTCACCATCAGATTCCTTCAGAGATTTTCGGCCCACGTGAGTCATCTTTATTTCCAATTCCCGGTGCAAAACAAAAGGTTCGGAGAATGCCTTGATCGCGATCGCGAAGAGAACAAATTACAATCTCTCGCGATCATGAGTTTTTTCTTTCTCCTGTAGGAACGTTGAAAGTTCCCTTTTCTCATGCAAGGTTTTCCTGGAGCCAACGAAAGAAAAGTATATAAAAAAAAACTGTTCTATTTCCCTTTCATTCATTGTCCGACAGTTGATTTCCTCAGTTCGGCCTCGCATCCTGGAAATTCCAAAACAGCTGTTAATATACTCCTACTCGTACTTATGTGCTGTCGACAGATTCTTTTAAATCAGACAAGCAATGGAAGAATGTTCGCATAGAGTTTCCACTTCAGTGATTGCTGAGAGATGAGTCAGAGGGAACTACTGTAGAATTCCATGAGAAAAGCAATATCGGGACAAATATTTTTTTTATTATTTCAAGCGAAAAACGAAGCGGTGCCTATCGCGCGTGATATTGTGTGAGTTTAATTCGCTCTTGCAATAATCGTGCGCGTTCGTAATTATCAAATAACATAGAATTTATATATTCATGTGTAACATTTGTATGTTTTAGCTCACAAAAAAATAATTACATACGAGAGTAGTCCTCCATAGAAAATCCCACTAGAGATTTTAGGTATAAAAAGTCTGCAACATTTCGAGTAACGAGCTGAGGCTATTAATGCCTCGATGGAGTTTATGATGATATTAATATTAATAAATAAATGACATAATAAATATATAAATAAAAAATTATTATCTCGCGCAGAATGCGCGATCGATTTAGTTTCAAGGCGTGTCGTTTCGATAAAACGCCGAAGAATCTTATCATTCAGGCTTTGGGTCGATCTACATACCCCGACACCTCTCGCTTCAGGAGAACCATATGGCTTTTCATCTTCTTCATCGCCACGGGTTATATGACCTACGAAATCATCGGAATCCTCAAGGCGTTCACGTCGGGACCAGTGACTACCTCCACTCGAGTACATCACAGTGAACTCTCTCATTCGTACGCTTAACACATTCCCTTCCACGGATTTCAATCAGGGCTGTACCGATGTACTGGCAAACACCAGCCCCCGGGACTGCACTATCGGTGCTGGTGCCGGTGCTCAAAAGGCAGGTATAGGGGGAAAAAAAAGTGTGGGTTTGAACGCCGCTAGGCTCCGGTTCGCCTGTCTCTCTAGAAGCCACACCTGACAGCCTCTCCGAGATAATTAAAAAAATATCCATCAGATTATTCTGGGTGTTCCATAAATTAGTTCGCCAAGGGGTTTTCGGCTATTCTCACTTTAAATGATTCAATTATGTAGTGAGACACGGATTTTATAATTAATTGGCATTATTGCTAATAGTTTTTATTTTCATTGTAGTTGAAGAATCACGGTTAAAACTGTATTCCCAACATCGAAATTAATAACGAAGATAATATGAATTTAGTATAGCTGAGAACCCCACCGTAGACTGACTCATGGAACACATTGAATTACAACAGGATTACAGGAACCGAGAGAGAAAAGCATCAGTAAAGGAGTGAAGTCTTTGAGTCTCCACTTACGCTATGCTTTTGAAAGGGAAGTTTTTCAAACGCTCTCAACAGCAAAAATGGCCAACAAGCTCACCACTGACAGCCTGAAGAGCCCGAAGGGATGGACAGGACCGAAGGTGATCTCAATCGTTTTAAAGGCCTATTTGACCTTACAGGCGCTTACTTCAACGGTCCGCGATTGACACCGACATCGGTCCATGGTTATGAGAAAACACTCGGCCATTGGCCCACCGGCCAAATGTAGCTACAGGTACAGCCCTAATTGAAATTAATATAATTTCCACCATACTTACAGTGAAGTATTTCATCCCATTTGAATGATATCTCTAAAGAAACAATGAGTCGTTTTCGCGCAGGCTTATTATCTTCAGATATTGCTGGGAATGCGTTAACATCCAAGTCGTTAACGCCGAGGTTATTAAGAGATTCCCGTGTGAATCCCACAATCCAGGTGGAGATGAAGGAAAGCCTCCCTTTTCCGGCAGTCACGATATGCCCGAATTTACCCTTTTCCGAGGAATCGCCAGTGCTCCCGATGAAAGCAAAGGGCATTTATCAACTTCGAAATTTGTTCAAGGGGAACCTCGACCTGGAGAGCAAATGCCAGCGAGCAAAAGCAGACCTGCCCCCTTTCTTCGAGAATGCTGATTGCAGTATCGACGATGACAATGAGCTGAAACTCTGCATTAAGCCATATGCAGAAATACAAAGCAAGTGCATTAAATATGAATAAAAAGAAAACCAATCCCACTTTATACTGCTGCATTGCGTTTTTCACCCTCTCTCATCAAGTTCTTAAAAATGTCCTGGAGGAAATAGCATCCTATGCCTAGAAGTTATTTGACAGCAAAATTAAATTAAAGCCAAGTACAGATGTATTTTTTTGTCATTTTGGAAGATTTGTAAGAAAATTTTTTACAGGAATTTTTTTTTCCCAAATGAGGTTTTCAATTCATTGCAACGACGAGAATATGAAAAATAGTTTGAGTGAGAATGGAATTCGCTAATAAACCAACGATATCTAGCCTGGTCTAACATTAAACGATTCCTATCCGGAATGAAATCCAACTTTCACTCGTAGGAATGTCAACGTCGAGTGAAATTGGGACTAAATTCTTGGAGCTATTCAACGACAACTATTGGAAGCCAATAAATAAAAGTTCCACTGTGAATCGAGGGAAGTACCTGGACTTTGAGAATGTGACCTCAGCGCAACACATACTCCATTGCAGCTTTGATTCCATCGGTTGCGACTATGAGTAAGTATCATTTACGTGTTCCCTCGTTTAAGACTCCATTTTTATGAATTGCCCACCCTCGTGGACTGGACGTTTAAAATTACCTCTTATTTTTTATTCAGATGAGTTCCTTTCCTTATTGAGAAGTACTGTCATGAAAGGAAGCAGAAAGTGGAAATGGTGGATTCTTGAGAATTGGTTAAACATTTGAATTCATGTTCTTTCTGTCCCAGTGGCTTCATGATACAAGATGAACTTTCAACCTGCATTACTTTCAACGGAGACGGAGACATGAATGTTAAGCAAAAACAGGAACAGGGAGAGAAATCGTCATTAAATAGCCGCATGGGACCCTCGGTGAGAGCCTTCGGAGTCGTTAAAGCCGAGAAATGGAATTCACGAGCTCATTTCTTTTGAATTGTGTTGTGCAGGATGGATTACAGCTCATACTGAGTTCTCATGTCAAGTGGCTAATATTTGGCTACAATGCAAACGGATTCCGTCTCATAATTCACCCCCCTGAAATAGATCACCAAGAATGGGATGGAAAGGGATTTCAAATAAACTTGGGAACGACTTCTTACGTCACCATCAAGAAGATGTCATTGCAGCGACTTCCACCTGACGAAGGCGGAGATTGTGCCCCAAATTCCTTCCTCGAGAAGCGATTTCACCTCGACAAGAAATTTAAATTCACAAAACAGAGTGAGATTTAGCAAGTGAGTTCTCGTAATTCATCTCATATCACTCCCGTGATTTTCTCTTTTGTCATCTCTTTTATCAGCTGTGCCGATCGATGTGCTTTTGGGACCGAGTGGAAAATGACCCGGAGTACCCGAACTGCACATTGTGTTTCCAAGGATTGGTAGTTATGTATACGACAGCAGAAGAATTTCGAGACTGGACAAATGAATGTTCTTATTGTGAGAGTTTCGGTCATCACACCTCTTAGTCAGCGAAAATCTCGCTTGTCTGATTAGGATCAATTTCATGATATGAGAGACTCGTAATCGTGAAGACGCCCAATATGGTCATGATAGTAATCAGAAAAACTTAGAGATTTCATTTTGTTTTTGGAAAAAGGTCCCGAAGACACCATTCAGAAGATGTATCGGGAACTTGACTCCGAAGGTTTCTGTGATTGTCCTCATCAATCCTGCTCGTAAGTCGAAATTTTAGGTACCCACTCTGCACACGAAGACAAAAAAGGAACGAAATCAGTTTCAACCTCTTTCAGAGAGGAGACATATTCTTGGAGTCTTTCTTCGGAGAGGATGGATAGCGAGGACGCGCTCCTCACGCATCTCATCACTTGGATGGAAAAGGGAAAATGGGATTCCATGAGCAAGAACGATATGAAAAACGAGAGTCTCTGTATTCATTCAAAGTCTGCCCACTCTTTATCAGAGTTACTGTGAAAGATAAAATGACTGAATGATACAAAATAGTGCATGCAAGTCGCCATTTACCAGATGTAAAAACGGTCGCTTTTAAGTGTAGGAATATCTACGAATTGCCGATTGTGATATGAACCCTATATTTGCTCTAACAGCTTGTTCCTTCAACTTTCTCTTCAGTGAAAATATTGCTACGGTGAACATCTACTATGAGAGCCTCGCTGTGGAGACGATCACTGAGCATCTGATGTATCCTGTGAGTGGATATCTTTCATAGGTCAGTAAGCTGGGATTCTTGTATTCAACACTGTTTGCGCCTCAACATGGTTTATGGATTAGTGGTCGAGCTTCATTGGGACTTTGGGAGGGTTACTGGGTCTCTACACCGGTCTGTCCCTCATCTCCATTTTGGAAGTTCTAGAGTGGGTCCTCAACATCTTCTTGTATGGTTGGAGGAAGCCTCGGACAGTGGCGATGGGGCCGAAGAGACGGGTCGTAATCACTGGTGAGCTAATGCAACATTTCCAATGCATTCGTTGCATTCCTTATGTTCATGTTTTCTATGGTACCGAACAGGGACTGACATGGAAAACCATGAACCGGAATTGAAGGATTCCCTCGCCTGCACTCCTTCACCCTATATGGAAACTCAGAATGGTGGTTTCGATCTTGGCATCACTCAGTAACCATGTTAGAAAGAAATTTGTAGCATTTTGAGTCATTCGGGGATGCAACTTCTACACTACCACCTTCATCACCTGTATTATTGCTGAAAATCTCGTTCACGCCCGAGACCGGGCCAAAGTCACACTGGGAAATTGCTGTGCAGAGGTTCACTTCAATTTCAAGCACTGAATTTCCACAGTGATCGAATTTTCGAAATTTGAGTTTCACTGTTTAAAATTAAATTTAAAAATTATTATTCACCAAATAAATTCCAGCAATAACAAAATGTGAGGCGTATATATTTTATTTCATTCTAAGATATATCCATTTCACAATACACAAGCGGATTAGAAAACCATCGAATCCTTGAAAATCGGTGAAGGATCCCGTCCCCCATGTCATAAAGCTGATATGGGTTTAATTCCAAATTCCGTATTGGTAAGAGCGAGGAAAGGACTACGTTTGTCCACCCCGGGAGACTTATTACTGAAGAACTTGAGATGGCATGAACGAGGCGGTTGAGGAAGGGGGACTTACACGAAGCAACACCATTCCCACTGAACATTTATTTTTCGAGGGATCTACTAAAACTTCGCGAAAGCTCTTCATACCGTCATTTAAGAGGAATATTCCAATCCTGAAATTAACGAACACTCCTTTTGCTACCGAAACGGGCGTTTTCGCCTCCCGATTGAAATATCCACCCCTGAACCTTGAATCTACTGCAACGCCCCGAATGGCCGAATGGTTATTTTAAACATGGGAAGGAGACCTCTACACAAGCCGATCTATGGAGGCTGTGGTACGAGCGATCCCACCTAGATGTCACGCCTGACCTCTGATCCTCGACTCCAACTTAGAGATCATCTTCATCAAAGCAATCGGTCAGTTAGTAATTCCAATAGAACGGAATAATAAAAAAAACAGCAGATAATTTGCTTTGGATAACAAATGTCAACTCCCAGCATTTATATTCGGCTTACCAACCCTTGGTTCCGCATATATTTTTCCATCCAGCTTTTCAGCACCATGTTGAAAAGATGCATAAGAACTAAACTGACGTCTGACTGAAAGAACCAAATGGAAATAAATTGAATGTATTCGGGACTGAGTGGGTGGCACTTCGCCCTGTTTATTGTTTGCCGACAGTAGTATCCTAATTTTAGTTCTGTGTGGCAGCGCATTTAAGCAGATATGAATCACACCTAATGCATTTCTAAAAAAAAGTAAAAGAAGGAATATTAACAGAAAACAAAATCGGAAAAAAGAAACTGGAGAAACAAAAGTGGCCATAATTTTAAGCATGTATTTCAGATCCAATCAAGTTGGATTTTTTTTAAATACCAGGATGGAAGACTGCAATTAAAGTTTGACTTTTACGAGTTTGGGGTCGCCTTTGGAAATTGATAGTATCTGGAATCGCTTTAGCGAGGGAAAAGCGAGAGTGCAGCCAAATGCCATGAGTCGTTGATTTGTGTCGCATTGTTTATATCTTAATACTCTCACAATGTTAAAGTCTCTAAATGCAAGGCTCAATGTGTCACAAAAACGAGTTTCTCATTTCGAATCGGCCGACAGCCCTCAATTCCTCATTGGAAGTTCCAAAATTCGCGCACCATGCACTAAATGGCAAAATGGTATCAGCAAATGTTTAATCTCATTTAATCCCATTTGTTCTTGCTACCCCCTGACTCCACACAATCCCACACAACTGAATAATCTCCAGCCACTCGTCTTTAGTTAATGCTGTAATTGATGAATCTTTATCTCAAAATAGCATATTTCATATGGTTAAAAAAAATTACATATGGTGCGCGACTTTTGGAACACCCTGTAGAACACCTTGCATTGCTTTTGCAATTTGTAGCCTATCGCCTGGGGGCGTCGACAAATATCGCCTTGTTCATCTCCTAATTATCTCGCAATTAATCTGAAACAATTCAACATGAGGCTGAACGCGTTCAAATCCAGTTTCTCATTTCGAGTCGGCCGACAGCCCTCGAATCCCGATATAAAAAAATGCAACCCTTAAATGGACGTGAGTTCATTTTCGCTTTCATTCGAGAGTCCTTGACCTTCATTCATCTGGCCCAGAGACGACCGGTTTCCGGCTGTTTATCCTCTCCCTGACCCTGACAGGGAGTGCATCGCGAAAAAATATGATACAGTTTTCCCTTTAACTCCAGTTCTACCTGACCCTTCCTCCTCATCCCCATTATCTAAGCATCCATTTGATGCAGAAAGAACAACTGCACAGTAGATGTTGTTAGTTTTCGGTGGTAGTTTCCCTGAGGACATTTTATTCCGGTCGTTTCTTTGGCATGAAGGGAATAGGAGGTCTTAATTGGAGCCATCATCAAGCCCTCCGTCAATTAATACCAATAACGTGACATGTTGTCGCAATGCATCTGCGCTCGATCCACGCACACTCATTGCTGGTGAAACGGGATGAACGAAAGATCAGAAGGGACCTTTGGTCATATTCATTGATTATTCCATAACGGAACGTTTAACCTCAACGTGACAATGTCGCCCAGGGTCGACCGCCGAAAAGAAAAATACAGCGACCGACATTTTGAGCGAAACTGTCGGGGTCGTCGAGGAAAGGAATGAGGAAAAAAAAAACTTTGCGTCTGCGAGTAGGTTAAATTTTAAAGTCGAGGCCGATCTCCTGCGACCTTCGTTCGAGAAGTGGGCGATAAGCTAATTTCTTCAATTGGGGGTCGGAGACTGACGAGGCCGGTTTTTCTTTTCGTTGTGAAAAATTTACGCTTGGGAAGCCAGTTTCATCGGGTTCTTGCGGAATCGGATCGTTGGAATGTGTCCTTAAATCTTTCGCAATTTGATTGCACTCTAAAATCCTCCGTTAGAAAAATGCCTTATAGGATTCATAAATATCCCTTTAGGAATATAGAGAAATCCGATAGGAACATATAGGAATCATATAGGTTCCTATAGGCCTAATAGGAAACCCTATAGGCCCCGTAGGGTTCTGTTTGGGACCTATATGGTTCCCTATAGAACCTATAGGGTTCCCTATAGGACACAAAGGGGTCCCTATAGAACCTGCAGGGATCCCTATAGGACCTATCGGTCTCCCATTAGAACTTATTGGACCTATAGGGAACCCTATAGGCATATTGGGTTCCGTTTGAAGTTCTCCTCTAGGCCAGTAGATGGAGGTATTGGGTTCTCACATTTCTCAAATTACACAAAAGTGCCTTCTCCTTACGCATGGAATCATCTCTCACAAGAGAGTTTTGTAGACCCCAAATGTTTCGCCTTGCCTCATTAGTGCAATCAATGAACTTCAACACTTCTTTATTTGTCATCCCCATTTGCCAGATAGAATTATGGAGTCCGACACCAGTTCCCTGCCGAAGAGGGTCCTACCAAGACGGACAGATATCCGTCTTAGTACTCTTTGTTCTCTTAGTATTCTTAGTACTCTTAGTAAATGGTGCACTGCGAGATTTGGCGATCGGTGTACCTTATTAATTCCGAGTGATTAGGATCGTGATGCATCGGCTTACAACCCGGAATAGCCGTAACCAAACCACAACATACATGTAGAGGAGGTCGTGAATATGCGCGCATGCAGAGTGACGTCACAAGGATGCGTATGAAACGGCCCTTGGGGGACGCTTTCGGCTCACTCTTTCCCCAGCGGTCGAGGCAGAAGGATGTGTCCCCTCTACCTCTTCGCTGTTCTCGCGCATTCAGCCTTCTTTCCCCAGCTCCCTTCTCTTGTGTTTTTCGATGTGTAGCCTTTTCTTTTTCCATATGTTAGGTAGGAAAATCTGGATGCATAAGGGCAATTAGATCGATTCATGGGTCCTGAATGGCCCTCATCTGCTCGCGCCACTTCTCGACTAGAAAAAAAAAATATTGGAGATGATGCCGTCCCCCTTCGCTTTTCTTGGTCTTCCATGCCCCAGTGCCGAGCACCCTCTGAATTTCTCCCAAGTATTATTATTCGTACGTCTCGGCCACACATACAGAGGAGAAAGGGGTGACAAACAAAAATAAACAAGAACAGCGAACAGAAACGGCACGGAAGGGTACACATTCGCGCATCACCAGCATATTTACACTTGGAGGGGGAGAGACCTTAGCCACTCCAGGGCCTCGGGGGTGGCATGATGGATTCCGTCGAGACCTCCGGGAAAGGGGTGGAGTATGCACCTCGGCAGGTGGTCCATAGTTTGCGGAAATCCGCACGGACAGAGAGGGGTGTCGGAGTGGTCCCACTTGAAGAGGAGGTAGTTGCACCTCCCGTGGTTCGTCCGGAACCTGTTGATCGATACCCATAGCTGCCTGGGGAGGTTGAATCCTGGCGGTTCTTGGGTGGGGTCGTCTATCAGGTGGTGGTTCCGGAGATGTACGGAAGACGCCCATTCGAACTTCCAGGCCTCCATAGGGTCGAAGGGGCCTTCGTGGAGGGCGCCACCAGTCATCCAGAAGGGCTTTCTCGACTTCAGCCGAGCTCTAGGGGGCCTGGCCAAGATCTTCTGAAGGGGGGTGGGGGTCTCCCGTGGTTCTAGTGTCTTT